GAGCACTTTGAGGCTTTTCCTCTTTCTTCGTTTGTAATTTTAGAGGACTGTCTATCTTGTCCGGCTCTTTAATAGGGCTTTGCTCGTTTGCGCTACCCGATGCAGACGACACAAAGTCTTCTTCATAATTATCTATACCATCTGTAGCTATAAAAACGTATTGTTTCAATAACTTTCCGAAATTTGTACACTGCATATTAGATGATTAGGCAAACATGAATTTTATATATTTTTTATATTATATTTTTGCAACTCACCAAGCCCAATATCCATTAATTCCTTCAGATCGTTAATGTTGGCCTTTTTACCATTTAATGGCGGCAAATCACTAAATATAGAATTAGCTTTCTGATTCATAGTTGGCAAACCTTCTAGAAAAGGCTCGGCTTTATTCATTGTACTAACATTTTTCCGCTCACCGCCGACGATAATCTCGTCAAAATAAATCGTTTTCCCGAAGTTGCTTCCCGCATTAATCGGTTTCTTACTTTGTACATTATTTTCTATACTTAGCTCCAAACTATTTATACTGTTTTGTTTAGTTACATCTTTATTTTGATTTTTTTGCGTGTCGATCACTATAGAGTCGTCGAACTTAATTAAGGATTCGGATTTGCTTAATGGACTCATTTGAATGGACGTAACGGTACTATCAGTCTCCTGTGCTACATAGTTCGTCGCCATGCATGTATCATATGGATTCGAATTGTTCTTATCAAAATTTACATTATTGTTCCTGTTACCTTCAATTCTATCATTATCCGTTGTATTCTCCCTGAGAGAAGATTGATGCTTATCGTAATCCGACGTATCCGTTACGACGTCGGCACCAGTCGGTATATCTTTGCACTTCTTGTCCGTTATTGTCACGTTTATTGGAACTTTCGGACTCTGTTCGGAAATGCTTTCTAATATTTCATTTGATGACACGGATTCATTATGGAATATTTTGGGAACAGACACTTCAAACGTTGCATTTGCGAAATTTGTTGAGTCTTCATTTGTTACATCGTGTCTAGTTTTATTCTGTAGAAAGGATTCATAATAATTTATTATTTCACATATCTTTGCTTTTAAAAATGCAGAAAAATATACGAAATGCCAGAAACAAAAGTTGTAAAGCAAATATCTTTATCAGAATGTGTCTCAAACCAAATAATTTGTTCTTCTAATTACTCTAATACATTTTTTATTATTATTAACAACAAAGATAAATCAAGTGATAAAACATCTTACATTGTGACTATAATTATATGAGATAACACATGGCTTTATGAAGGAGCATCGACGGAATACTATTAAAGGCTGTCTACAATGAAAGTGTATAATAAGTTATAAGCTGTAAGAAATTGAACAATCACAGTCGATTAGTCTCCTCACATTTGACTGTGATTGGTCGATTTTTTACAATTTACTACATCATATTACTTCCACTGTAAACGGCCCTTTAAAGACCAATATTCTTACGAGTTAGCATGAATCATTCCGAAGGAAACTGAATTACCCGAAGGTAATTAAAGAATACTGACATTATTAACTGTTTTGGCTGTTTCAACCCAGACAACAAAAAGTCCAAAATCAAGACATGTCTTTTAGGCATCTTTAAGATGTCTATTAGGCATTTTTAAGATGTCTTACGTCTCGTTTTCAGACATGCGTGTTGTCTGGAAAGCATAATGGTAAAGATTATTTAAAAATTTTTTTCTGTTCTCAGTATAAACATGCATATAAACTCCATCTCACAAATATATATTAATTGCGTATACTTTAATTCTAACAATGAGAAAGGATTTTCAAATCTGTAAAAAGAGAAAACAGAAATTACCCAGACAACATCATATCCGAAATATGGACATGAGGCGTCTTGCAGCAATTTTATTGATTACGAACATTGCAATTATATTGCGATTTTCTCAATATTTTAGATATAATTTAGGACAAGAGAAATTCATCTCTGATAGAGGTCTTTGTCATGACTTCTGCCGGTCCTTAACAATTACAACTATATAATTATCCCAACAATCGACTTAACTCAAGAAAATACCTTTTGTGAACTATTAAAGGCACCGTTGATGCTATTCTTGAGAATTTCTCCCAGCAATGGCTCAGTTGAAACAATACCTAATTCCTCGCACAATTTATTTCTCCCTACATAGTTGTATTCCTTCCCAAAGTATGTTTCTGGGTCATACACAGATATTGTATAGTCGAGACCAAAGTATTCTAGGAACTCCCTAACTAAGGAAAACAATAATTTTCCTTCTGAATTAGACAGGTACTGTTTTACAGTTTTGTTGAGAAGTGGTTCAGGATTCTGAAACATTTATTTCAAATCTATTAAATCATTCTCTTGCTACACACTGCATTTTTCTTTTTTTTTTTTATATAAATTTCAAATAAAGATACAAATCGCTCATTTACTACAACAATAACATAACTTGAAAATTATCATTTTGGAGTTGTTTACAAAAAACTAGAAAGCAAAAAAAATTTTTATTCCTCTACAATCAGTTATTATACCACTTACATTTCAGCATTATATATAATATTACTAAATTACAATAATTTAAAATATCTGAATTTGTTTTCTATTGTAGAAAATTTTATTTTTTTGAGTTGTGTGTGTCGTTGAAGCAAGTGAGCGATATAACTTGTTAGAGTCTAATGGACTTTTGCTTTCATTTTGAGGATCATTTATATGTGCCATACTCTGGCTGTATTCCAAAATTTACTGCCAGTACTAAAAATCTATAGTTTACGTCACGTCTACGAAAATCTATAGATTTTCAGTACTGGCAGTAAATTTTGGAACACAGCCTCTGTTAATTTATGCCATAAGCTGTAAGAAATTAATCAATCACAGTCAAAACGTTAAGAGAATGAAATCAATCACATTTAACTGTGAATTTCTTGTAGCTTACATGAGTTAACAGTTTACGACATGTATAAATCCCATTCTTAAGGGTAAATCCATACAAATTTGCAGTCACATAAATATATAAAGAAAATTATTCAATTGCATTTCTCTTATAAAGACACACGTAAAATGATTGAAGAATTTTCTTTATGCACACGTTTATGCAAATTTATGTGAATATACTCTAAGAGGACATAGATTCTTGAATAATGCATAAGAAAATCAACCAACCAGAATGTTTTATTTCGTGGAGAGAAGTGGACTTTGGTTCATTTTCTTAAACATTATGCATTATGCAAAACTCTGTACTCTCGCCCTAATTACATCTGTACTGCTGTGCATGCCTCAACGATCCTTACCATAACTGAATCCTGTTCTTCGAGTGCCAGAAACACGCTCGCCCTGAGTTCCGCCTGCGAACATTTCAAAAAAGGTTCGATAAAGCCGACGGAAAAGAGAGAAACGTCAAATAACGATTTTAACGAAATTTCTACCCATTCTTGCCCCGAAAACACTCGCCTAACCTACAGAGACTTGAGAATATTCTTTTTTTCTCGCAAGACATAACTGTCTGAAGACGCACCCGTATCTTAGCGAGGACGCCGTTACTCTCCAGGGTCTGCACCACCAGATCCCGTAATTCGGTGTCCTCCTCCATCGAGATGTTTCCGTCTATCATGATTATACAAATTAAAAAAAAATGCGCCGAAACGAATACTCAAGAGAAGTAAATATTTACGCTTTCCATCGCGTGTACATACACTTTTTCGCGAAAGCGACAACTACCTAGAGACTTTTCTACCCTTCATTCCTTCGAATCTGGGGACTTTTCACTTTTCACTTGTTAAGGCTAACACGCATTCCACAATAAGCCATTAAGCCCGTATCAGACTACCGACTCTGCAGGCCGACCCGACTACCAACTCTGGCTGCGTTTCGTTATTCACTGTCAGTACTGACAATATGACGTCATAAAGTAGTATTGCAGAAGCGTTTTAAAATTACTAATAGTACTTTTATGACGTTACAACATTGCATAACGAAACGGATTTAGTAGTACTTGGTAGGACTGTGTAGAAATAAATAATTTTTTAAATTTTGATAAAATTTGGAATTATTAATTATATTCATATCTTTGCGTGCTTTTTCTGCATCTACTTTATTCATTAATATGTCATAACTTTTTGACATTATTCGTTTCGACATCTAAAAAACAAATTTTTTCCTGATTTCCCATTTCGTTGAATTTCGCCATCTTTTTACTGCGATTACCTGACGGTCGCAGTAATAGAAATAGGAAGTGACGCAAAAATTTATGACGTCATATAAACGCAAAAGTATATTGGAAGTTTACTGCGATATATTTTGGAATGGCATGTGCAATGCTGCCAGTATTGACAGTGAATAATGAAACGCAGCTCATGACTGCCGATTAATAATGGACCAATCACAATAAGACTGATTCAATGTGATTGGTCCATTATTGGTCAACAGAGTTGGCAGTCGGGTCGGCTTGCAGAGTTAGTAGTCTGATACAGGCTTTAGTCATAAATCAGAAGTTAGAAGCTGGAAATTGACCAATCACAGTCGTTAACGTGCAAAGCTTAAGCTGGTTCTACATTAGTCGCATCGCAATGTCGCAAGCGTGTCGCAAGCGTTGCAGTCCAATCATGCGAGGTCTACAATAGAAATAGAAAATTGATCAATCACAGTCGAATATGAGAAGAATAATCAACTGTGATTGGTCAATTTTCTACGACTTAAGCCCTTACGACCGCTACGACTTCTATTGTAGACCCCGCATCAGAGTCGAGCTAGCTTGACGTTGATTGGACCGCAAAGCTTGCGTCGCTTTTTCTAGTACTTTTTCTTAGTACTTTTGCGATACTGACATAAGTCCGTCACGCTTCTCTTATAAATATAGGATTCTAGTACGACTATGAAAGTTTTTTGGAATTTATAGATTTATTGAAGGAGTTATCTAAAAATTGTTCTTAAATAAATATAAAAGAGATTATCAACATTTAGTATATTTATTGTATAAATATATATCTTTATTCAATATTGTTTCTAATACTGTTTGTCATTTTAGAATTTTGTCAAAATTGAAATTTGAATAACAATAAAATTCATTCGCCAAATTGTTTTTATGACCTGGAAGAAAATCACATTTTCTAACGTCCAACAGCCTCTCTGCCAGCTCCGCCATAATAGCACCTGCATATATGCATATAAAGCAATAGTTTTATTTATATTTTATATAAATGCATAATTAATTAATATATAACAAAAATTTATGGCAGAAAAATAATTCATACACACCTGTGCAGAGAACAATATTTTTCTTGGTCAAAAACTTTATTGTCACCGCTGTCTTAGTTAGACATTCCTCCGAAAGAAAAGGTGGATCGGCTATAACCAAATCGAACTGACTAGACATATGCCGAGGTATATCCAGAGGAAACTTGTAGTCATACTGTATAAAATCTGTACCAAATATTTTGAAACGACTGTCATACTCAAACAGCGTGACTGCAATTAAAATAATATATTTGCAAATAGAGTTAGAAACTAGGAAATGAAAGCTTTATATGATCCGAGTTGAATTTTTAGCTTAAATAATTCGGTGTGAATTTTATATATATATATATATACATGGTGTGGCAATAAAATTCGGTGAATATTCTTATATTCAGTTTGTAAACGCATGCAGCAAGTTGCGGCATCGTACTTGTTATAAATTAGTGTATCTAGAAACACATTTCAACATGTTGCACGCCTGCCCTTAACCCTGGATCTACAATAGGGTTTTAAGCCTTAAGCCATAAGAAATGGACGAATCATAGTTGATTATTCTTCTCGAATTTGACTGTAATTGGTCAGTTTCTTACGACTTAAGACTTAAAACTCTATTGTAGATCCGGAATAACGGACGCGCGGCTATGTTCAAGCGTAGATTAATAACGAAGGAGCACACGTTCGTTAATGAAAATGGAACAAAGAGCTAATATCAAGTTCTATTTTAAATTGGGCAAAACGATATTGCCCAATTACAGTTAATATTACTCCATTCAGGATGTAAGTATTAATCATACTTTGCCGTTTACCGCATTCCTTTTTTAATTTGCTGTAAAGAGTTGGACAAGAAACTAGAGCGATCTTTCCATTTGCTGGTGTAGAATTTAGAGCTCCGTTAACAAAAGCCTTTATCGTATCGTCATTATACCAAAATTGACTCAATTGCTGTAATATTGATTATGCATCAATTTTTCAGAATTAAAAAAATCTATCCTATTATTTCATCGCTTATTTACCCAATTCTCATCGAAAGGAGTATCTGGCACTTGATCTTCCTCGGATATCAGTTTCAGCAAATTCTCTCGCTCTTCTTTCTCCTTCAAGAATTCCTCTAATGCGGCAAGCGTACTCGAGCTTAGTCGCGGATGATCATCATCCCTGTCACTATCACTCATTGGGACTGTTTTTGTGGCTGAAATAATGTACACTTTTAGAACTTAAACTGAGATAATTGTATATATGCTTGATATTTGGCAAAAGCGAAAGAGTTTTAAGACGTGATAAAGGTGCAATCTACTTCGGTCACTTCAAAAATCGATGAAATTGTATTCATTCGACGCATTTTTGCATGAAACGAAAGAATCTGGCAGAAATAAGCTCTGCCCCGCGAACCGAGATATTAAACGTTAAAGTTCACGTCCATTCAGGTTAGGAAATCTAACACGGTCGCGCAACACTGATATAAGCATGCGCTGCGGTCACATTTTCACACTCTGTGGCCACCCGCGCATAAGTAAATTTTATTTATACTATTAATGTGTTTATTCTGAAGTTTATTCCAAATAAATCATAACTCACGTAGACAGTGAGGTGTGTGGACAGTAGTGTTCAGGTTCGGAGCGGCGTAGCCATACACTCCACTGTCGACATGGATTATGATTTATTTGGAATAGAATTATACATATAATAGAAATGTTGCATGAGTGACTATCTAATCGATTTTTTAATTTGTTTTTAAATTTCGTGCACAAGACGACCACAGCGCATGCTCATATTGTAGTGTTGGGTGACCCTGACAGATTTCCTACTTGAACAGTCCTACGTGAACTTTAATACTTAATATCTCGGTTCGCGGGGCAGAGCGACGCTTATTTCTACCAGATTCTTTCGTTTCATTCAAAAACGTATCGAATGAATTTCATCGATTTTTAAGATACCGGGGTAGATTGTATATACCTTTACCAGAATATAGGTAAGAACAGTGATGGGCAGTGTGGGAATTATTCTCGCATGGGAATGTTCATGCGCATGCGTAAGTGACGTCACAGTCGCGTGTCGGCTGACGCTATTTAGCGCTATTCGAAATAGCGCTGATTGGTTGCTTCAATGACGCATTCTCTATTCCGCAGTCTTTTTCCGCACCGTGTGATTTCACCCTAAGAGACTGGCATAAGTTCTAGTTGGATAGGAAATAGCGTTCACAGGACGATAAGTCATAGGACGCGTTCGCAATTAGTATGGAAAAGCAGAAAAAGTAGGAAAACAGAAGCCAATCAGAATTCGGGCTGTACTATCATCTATTAGCAGCACGATTTTTGATTGGCTTCTGCCATTCCATATCCAGCCAATCAAAAATTAGCCCATCATTGCTAGTTTCTTATTATAGTGTCTCTAGGCACCCTCATGGCTCCTGCACACTGGACGCGGAAACGCTTGCCGCGCGGCAAAATGTAACGCGGTAGCCAATAAGCTTACAGCTCCTAAGGCCAGCATCTCAATATTCAATGCATAGTCTGATTCTGACCTAACATGTTCATTGGTTACCGCGTCGCATTTTGCCGCGCGGTAAGCTTTTCCGCGTCCAGTGTGTAGGAGCCATAAATCCTACATTAGAATGCGGAGGTTGGCGACACTGACTGACAGTGAATTTTAGGACAGTTCCAATTTGATTCGACTGATTCGACCGTCGACGTCGGTGGTAGACGAAATGGCTTCTCATCTGGTTCTCAATCGGATGCAATAATCGGACGTATCAGAGAGTATCGTAGCTCGCTCGTGTTCCAGAATTTTCTACTCGTAGTGAGCTGTACGATCCGTTTGCGGTCTTTGCATATCGTGATTTTCATTCAAACTCAACGTATCGACATCAGTCCTATGTTCCTACTGTATCTCGTCTTGTGACTCGTGAGCGATCGTCGTTGCGGGTACAATGGCCGATGTAGAAGGAAAAAAGTTGACGGAACTCCGAGTTATAGATCTAAAAACAGAGTTGGAACGTCGCAGCCTGGATAAATCCGGTAATAAAGCGGCGCTTCTCGACCGACTCTCCAAGGTGAACGATATCTCAGTTTTTCTCTTTTTTTTTTTTATTCTTTACGCTCGAATGCTCGTAGTCCAACGGCGTGGTTTATCGATCTTATCGATTTAGTAGCGGGTCTGCTATCGCGTATTTGCGCTAATTGAAAAAAAGATTTTCAATCGCATGACCATTATTATCGGGACTCGAGTAAGAATGCTCTTTTGTTATCAACAAAAAGTGCTAGTTTAAAAATGTACTGAATGCTTTGATTGCACAATCTAATCAACATGTTGCTTGGGGAGGGAGAAGGGCGGTTTATATATACTAGCGTCTTGAAATAAACGATTGTTTTCTTGTCTGTATTAGTGTGCCAGTTGCTGATAAAAAGAGTATTACGTAAATGCCATATTGTTGTAATTTGGCTTTGGAAAAGTCAAAGTGATAAGTCACGAACCTTGAAACACGATGCATTTATTTGCACAATTTACATTCTCCCTATTTGAAATTAAATCTTAGTACTCCAGTAATGATATTTATAAACTTAAAACAGAACAATAATTTATTTATAGGCTATACTGGATGATGGAGAAAATCCTGAGGAGTATCTTATTGTACCATCTGGTGGACCACCTAAAATCATTCCGAAAAGGAATGGTGGTATATATGTTTCCATATCTCGTTATGAAAGTAGTATCTAAGAAATTATCTACAATGAGAGTAATATATGATATAGTAAATTGTGAGTTATAAGGAATTGATCATTCACAATCGAATGTGAGGAGAAATTTGTTATTTATTACTTACTACATAATATAAGGCAGATATTTTATGTATCATAGAACAAACTTTTTAAGCCTGTTTGGTTGTAGCCTGATTGCCTATAGAACCGAGAGATCTGACAATCTCTCTGTCCTACAGCCAATTAACAAGCTCGAAAAGCCTTGTCAATCGATGCATGAAATATCAGATTTAAGGTGCAGCCACGATAGAAGGAATAGGGAATAAAGATTTCAACCTATCAGAAATCGAATATACCGGAATGTATACATGGTTTCTGATAGGTTGGAATTGTTATTCCTTATTCCTTCTATTGTGGCTGCACCATTATAGATGACCCATAAATTATTCTCATTGTAGACAGCCTGTCCTACAATTAACATAGTTGTAAGTAATTGTAGTTTCAAGGCTCCTGAGTACTCACCTCAGTCATATTGAACTGTGACGTCATAAACGAGAAATGATGTATTAAAGTTTTTTGCATGCTATTTGTAAATAAAGACAGTTTGTATAAAACGAAATAATGAGGTCATTGCAAAACACTTGTAAAAATAGATCAAGACTATCCTTATCTCCTCTGACAGTTAGTAAATAGTCGAAAAATGTTTGTGAAGTAAAAATAGGCTATTGCGCATTGAGGAAAAACTAATAAATGCTCCTTACATGCTTTTTACGACTATTTACTGACAGGGAAGATAATGATAGTCTCAGTCCATTTTTACAAGTTTTACAGTGATCTTATTCTGTTTCATGCAAATTGTCTTTATTTATAAATGGTATGCAAGAAAAATTAATAGCTGCGTTTAACAGATTCAATAGTTGAGTGAGCGCTCGCTGCTATTGATGTATAATTCTTGGATGATTCTTGGATTGGATGATCTAAAAGAATACACCAATAACAGTGAGCGCTCACTCAACTGTTGAGTCCACTGAATGTACCCAATGTGTCATTCATGACATTTATCATTTATGACATCACAATTCAAAATGGCTGAGTACTCAGGAGCCTTAAAAATTGATTAATCACAATTAAATATGAAGAAAATATTCGATTTTGATAGTTCAATTTTTATTGCAGTCACTTACAATTACGCTTACACAATTGTAGAGAATAGGCTTAATAGTTAATATATTGTACACAAATTCCAATGCATGAGCCGAGATAAAAACTTTTTATCATTTATTAAACTTTCTTATCGTTACAGGAGCTTTGACTCTAGAAGATTCTAGTGAATGCTCTGATCATCAGAAGGAAGAAAATGTCGATGGACAGGATAATAAAGATAAATATAAAATGGAAGTAAAGACAGGAGAATTTGATGAGAAAGAAGTTCTCAAGAAAGAGCTAAAAGAGGTATTGTATATATATTGATATTTGAGATATTTTAATTAAATTAGGATTGGATCTATTACTCAAAATCAATAATTTACTTTGAATTTTTTTGAACAGGAACCCGAACTTGAAATTAAAAATATTATTATTAAGGTGGAAAAATTAGAAGACAAAATGCAAGGAGTCAAGGCTGAAAGTGCACAGAACAGCGACAAGAAAAATGAGGCGGAGAAGATTGTCTCAAATCAAATCTCAGACGTGCCATCTGCCACTGTTGAAGCTAATGGAATCGACAATGAGGATTCTATTAATTTGACTATTGGAGAAGATGAGGAGAATCTCCTAGCTGAGGAGGTATGATTAAAGAAAGGAATTTTTTTTTTGTTTGAGAAATTACGTGGATTTTGCTGATTGGTAAAAGTTATATCTATTTCGAAAATTTTTTTTACGAGAATGAAAAAATTTGTATAATTTTTCTCATTCAAGTTATCACACAGTAAGATTCTTTTTAATTAAAAAATTCATTGTTTTAACAAAACGTGCATAATGATATGAGAAATATAATCTCTTTTTATAAAAATAGAAAGACTAATTTTTGTAGCTGGAGAAAGGATTGTAATTTTGGAATAAAATGTGAATCATTTAAATAACTGATGGATATAACTGCATTTGCAATAGTAGGAATTTGGGAATTTAACTTTGTGCAATTTTTTCTACAGCAGTAGAAATAATTTAATTTTTTTACAATTAGACTCCCTTGATTTTGTAGGATTTTGTAGGATTCGTAACAATTAGAACGTTTAAGACTATAAAGAATCTAAAGGTTCCAGTATTTAATTTTTATATATTTTTGAATGTAGTCGCTTTTGTATAGACTATGTATTCACATGTAATTAATTCCAATGATTATAGATAAAAATTTTTTTAGAATCATTTCTAACAAATGTTTTTCTTATTGCAGACAGAATCTCATGACAGACCTAAAGGTAAGTTCGCCATTATGTATTATTTTTTAAATTTAGATTATAAGTATTCAGAATGTCAAGGCTAGCGATATTTGTATCTGCGGTATCCTGAGTAAGTTAGCGAAAGCGCCAGTGTCAAGAGCAAGTCTTCAAGAACGTATTCGTTCAAACATCTGGAACAAGGGCAACGTCGGGATCGTCCGCAATCAACTTCTTCCTCATCCTATGAGTTCCGGCCTTCAAGCGTCGTGAACTCGTTGCAACGTCTGGATTCAATATAGCGCAGCCACGATAGACGCGGCATATCATTGAAGTGCAAGCCGGCGACAGAAATGGCGTTTCAACCGGGATAAACGCATGCTGATCGATGGTTTGGAAGGTTTTCAACTGGGATAAACAATGTACATCTCCCGACATTCCCGTGCTACTGTTCGAGCAAACAAGCCATATCCCGTAGTCTTTAAGTTAGTTAACGCTATAATTTGATATACAATTACATTAATTATACCTACCACGTAGAGCATCGTTGGATTTCTCTTATCATCGACTCATATGGATACAGGAAGACTCAAGTATACACCAGCAAATATTTGCCGCAAACTATAAATTATCACATGACATGAGGTTTGACCAGTATCTTCGAATCATTCGTGCCTCTTCGAAGAGTCGTTGTCGCATATATACATTTGAACGTTTTCCGCGAGAATAATAATCTATCACAGGAATCATTTTATCAACGTAGAGCAATGTGAATTCACGAAAATGATAATCACGCTCTGCGACACATTTATCGTTATCTTTTCCTTTTCTTTTTTTTTAAATTTCATTTTCAATTCAAAGTTTCGTG